TAAATGTTCATTAAAACTAATAAAATTTAATAATAATTAAAAAAATTCAACAGGATGTTAAAAAAATTGAGAAATTAGGAGGAAGTAATATATACTTAAACTAGACAATGAGTAAGAGAAATAAAAAATAAAGTAATTCAGGGTCTCTACAACATCTTTTATGTTTTTAGTCAATACAGATAAACCATTACAAAGGTGTTCTATTCTTCCATTCAAAATAAGCGATAGAAATAAAGAATTTAAAAAGAGGAGCCGGCAAAATGTCTCAGAAGAAATAACAAAATGGGTAACAAAATACACACAAATGCACAAAGTGGAGACAAAGAGGTGAGAAAAAACCCTACCATCACTTCAGAGTTTGAACTCAATTTATTATACATTAATATACTTATTGTGCCTCCTAGAATAAGGTAACCAAAGAAGAAGCCAGAGGCAAGATAAAAAGATTTTTTCCTTTCGATTCTTAATTTTATCTTATTATATATGATAATATATATTATCCAAGGGAGCTTTGGTGGCCTAGTGGCAAGAAGCTGAACTGCAATCCTGAAGGTGTGAAGTTCGAGCCCACAAGCTGCTCCATGGTAAATGAATAAGCAATCTCCTCCTGTGTGATTAATTGCCTCTGAAAACCTGCCAGAGTGTCAGCTATGGGTCAGTTCCAACTTGCCAATACAAAACAGTGACAACAACAACAATCATCTATTATATCAGGTTTAATATTAGGAAAAAAAATGTGTTCATCAGTTTTCCCTTTCAAAGAAAGTTATTTGACTAAAAATCTAACATGCACCAAGCCTCCCCATTTAATTTGTACATTATATATGTATAAATATATCCATGGGATATATGTTTCTCTCATTGTGTCAGAATTAGAAGAGTAACTGATACTTTTAGTTATGTCTTGGTGAATATTGACTATTCCATGAACTATAAGAAGGACAAATCTGTCTAGAAGAAATACAGCCAGAATTCTTCTTAGTAGTCTCATTTACCTCGGACATGCCATCAGCAGGAGGTGGACACTGGAAAAGGACATCAATCTTAGTAAAATGAAAGGTCAGTGAATGAAAAGGAAAAAAAATCTCAGTGAGATGAAATGACACAGTGGTTGCAATGATGGGCTTAATCATAATCATGAAAATTATATAGGACTTGGTTGTTACTATCTGTTGTACATTAGTTCCTGTACGTAGGAATGATCTTGATGGCAACTAACAACAATATGTATCAACTATATATATTTTCACAAGGACATGTGCCATCTTAGAGGTGAATTAACATTCCAAATAAATAATGGACAAATAAAAGGAGGAAACAAAAGCACATGCAAAAATGACCATTGATAAATACAGCTTCTAGTGTAAAAAAATCTTAATTTGCATATGAAATAAGTCAGAGTTTCAAGCACCTTAAATGTTATCAATGGTTAAAATGTTTTTGCACTTAAATTTGAAAATGATATCAAAGAAATAGTGTCATTTTCTCCCAGTCACTTTGAGATTTTTTAAAAAGTATGTCTATTTAAAAAGTTAAAATAATTGAAATCATTTCACCTTTAATGTTACTATAACAGCTGCTGGATATGACAAATCAATCGTGGAAGAGGACTTTCTGTACATCCTAAAGGGATAAAAATAATTGTATATGTAAAAATTATTGACTCTAAATTGTCAATTAAGTCTTAAATATAAAGTAAACTATTATGTTTGATTTCTTTACAGTCTATCATTAGTTATAGACTCCAAATATAGCAACAATGATAATGACAGCTATACCTACAATATGACAGATGGCAAAAGAATTTTGTCTGTTCAAAACCAAAATCAATGTGATTTTAGTTTCTAAAATATATTTCCCTCAACTTCACTTTTTCAAAAGATACATTGTACTTTATATATTCAACAGCATATCATGCTGCCATAATTACAGTAAAGCATAGTTTTGTAGCTATTTATATGTTAAAATTTTCTGACTAGAAGACAAATATCATTATAATTATTTCTATATCATTTTGTAAGATAAAAATTATAAGAAAGAATATATAGTGTCATCATAATTTAGGAACTTTTTTTGTTTTGAGACTAAAATTTCTCAAATATATTAAATTATCACTTAAAATTTAGGAAGATTATACAGAATTAAAGAAAATTTTATTCATTTCCACAGCAAAAAAGTTATTTAACAATAATTTGCTTGGTTTTTCCATCTTACAATGGGCAACCAAACTGACATAAACAGAATATAAGGCATTCTTCCATAGGTTTGTGTGAGAATAAAATCAATTGGGCATTTCAACTGAGTTGAAATAGCAAATAAATTCTGTGTAGAACTCTGAAAGATGCAAAACCTATTTACAAAATACTAAAAAAAGAGAATTAAAGTGGTTATTAATAACATATCTTAATTTTTATATCATAATTAATTAGTCTACAAGAAAATTGCATCCTAAACTAATTACTGTAACATCTCTCTCCAAAATGTGTAGACTTAACTATAATTAAATCTTACATCATTAATTTACGCAGGGAGTATATAGAAAACAGCCAAGTGGAAAATATTCCAAGTTTTTAATAAAACCAATATGGAAAACACTGATTTGTTTTGGTTTAAGATTCCTTTTATTTGAAAAATCTAAACAAAATACACAAAACCATGATATATATATTTCATTTTCTAGGGGAAAACGAATTTTTTTTTTTTAGATAATGAAAGCCAAGTAATTCACCATGTTTTTCTTTCAATACTGACATACTAGATGTTCAGAATTAAAATACCATTTTATTATGTTTCTGATTCACGGTTTTAAAATAAATTTGCTCCCATTTAATTTTAGGAATCTTCTAACAATATGTTTATTTTCATGTTTCCATTTTGTGTTTATTATAAATATTATAAGTTTTACACATTAGTGATCAGGAATAAGAACAATATTATTTTCATCATTATTATCCTTATTTCACCAAGAAAGGTTTCAAACAGTTTGCAAATAAAATATATACATTAGTTACTCCATTTCTTATTCTAATCTTTCAGGGCAAAGAAAGCAGTAATTATAGTACAAAAGATCTAGAAAACAATTACTATTAGAAATAAAACTTGAGTTTTTAAAGTTTTTTGGTTTTAGGGGAAAGGTAGATTTTGTTTTGTTTTGTTTTTTTTGTTGGTTTTTTTTTTTTTAGTCATTAGTTAAAATACAAAAGTGAGGGGAAATGAAACATTAATTGATAGAATGAAAGGATTTGTTATAAAAACCAATCAGAACTGGGATATTTTTAAAAAGAATTAAAAGAAATTTGACTCCATGATATAAGAAGCATTATGTTACCGTTATATGCCATTAGCTCAATTTTGACTTGCAACTATCCTGTAAGACACAGTAGAATCATCCAGGGGTTTCTAAAGCTCTAATCTTTATGGCAGCAAACTACTACATTCTTCTCTTGTAGACTGGTTGGTGGGATCAAACCAACAACATTGATTAGGGCTCATTTTACAGTATGACATGCTGCTGTTGTTAAGTGCTGTTGAGTTGTAGACAACTCATAGTTACCCTATGAACAGAAGACCTGAACACTTGTGTAACTTTCATTGTTTCTCCACATTCACAGAGTTTCTGGAGACAAGCTATTTTGGAAGTGGATGCCACTCCTGCTTCCAAGCTTGTTTTAATCGGGAGCTCCACCAAATACTGTCCACTATGGGTAACTATTATCGCATTTGACACATCTGTGTCACAGTGTTCAGCATCACAGCAACCACAAGTTACCGCTGTACAGCAAACGGACAGGCTAGTGCTATAGTTGTGTGATTTTTTTGAAGGCTACTTAATGCCATTCATCTGTAACATGGGAATAATGACATCTGTAATTTTTTGTGAAGAGTAAATGCCTTTGAGTTGTGATGTTGAAGAAGAATACTGGCTATCCCATCGACTACCAAAAGAACAAATAGGTCTGTCATGAAGAAAGTGAAACCAAAATCTTTTCGAAAGCAAGGATGTTGTAACTGTCTCACATACTTCGGGCATCTTGTCAGGAGGGAACAGTGCTTGTAGAAGGGCATCATGCCTAGAAGGGTGTAGGTTGGTGAAAGAGAACACCTTCAATGTGTTGGATTGATACAGTTACAATGGGTTCAAGTATATCAGAGATGATGATGATTGCACAGGATCTGGCATGGTTCAGATCCGTCACAGGCTCCCTATGAGTTGTAGTCTACTCTCTGGCACATAACAACAGAGGATAAAAATCCTTAGCTTGTGGTAAGTACTCAATTAATAAAATATAATTATTTCTGTTCCTATTCTTTTCACATCATCGGCACCAATATTTTCATTCTTTAGGGGTTCCTAGGCTTACTTAGAACTCTGATGATATTGAATTTCTTATTTGACTATGTTCAGAAATTTCTATTTCTGTTACTAAGAAATAGAATATTAGGATGGGAAATGAGGATGACACATTCTGGATTCAGGATGACCCTGAGAGAAATTTAAACCTACATTTAAGCTTCATTAGGTCTTTGGATAAAAAAAAGACCTAGTAATCTGCTTCCATAAATATCATTAAAAACCAAACGAAGCAGCAAAACACTGCCTTCCAGTGAAGTCTAACTCAAAATGACTCTCCACTGAGTTTACAAGATTGTAACTAGTTAAAGGAAAAAAATGACAAAACTCTCTCCTAAAGAGAAGCTAGTGGATTTAAACCAGAGAACTTTTGGTTAGCAGTTCACAATGTAACACACCACACCACAAAGAAAACCCTGTAGAACAGTTCCATTCTGTCACATGGAATCGCCAGAATTCAAAACCAAATCTGTAGATCACAAGAAGACATTTTAGGAAATAAGAGATATAGCTTCTATTAAAAAAAATCCCCCCCCAAAAAAAACCCAAACCCCACAACAATTAGTTTCTTGGGTTTTTATAAGTGTTTTAAAGTCAGCTGGGTATTATGATGGGTTAATTTGGAAGTATTTTCTTAATTGGAAAACTTTTAAAACTTTATACTCTTGATTACATGAGACACAATGTGAATGAAGGATAGTGTGAAACACAGAGTATACCCACTTTGCATCCAAACCATGTAAAAATAATTGAAGAAAAACAAAACAAAACAAAAATTCCACCCAAAACTTTATACTCTTCTGTTTTGTCTGGTGGAGTAAAGAGTGTAGTAGTCGCTTTCATAGGGCTTCTCTCGAATGGTGAAGCAGGACAACAGTTAAGAAACAAGTGATTACAATCAAGGTAGTGCACTGATTGTGTGAAGATATGGGCAGTAAAAACCATCAGAGAAGGCATCAGAAAGATAAAAATAGTCACCTAAGTTGAGGGAAAAGATAATCACTCCAGAAAGAGGAAATATCAGGGCTAAAAGCCCCAAATCTGGGAAGAGTTTGATGATATTCATAGAATAACATCATTATTTTAAAAATTAAATAAATTTTGTGGTTTGAATCGACCAGCTGCTCCATAGGAAAAGGATGGGCAGCCTCCTCCTTCACTGCCTCTGAAAACCCGCAAGAGGGTCAGCTATGAGTCATTTCTGACAACAACTATCAACAACAATAATAAAAACTCTGTAGCATAGAAAGGAAGTATGATGCCACAAATGGAATGAAGTTTTGAATTAGACTGGGGTAGTATGTAATAAGTCAGGGGTGAGAGTAACATTGCATGAAGTTAGGAGGCAAAGGGGACCTAATGATGTAAGGCCATGATCCAAAGATGACTTTTAATACAAAGTGAAATGGGAAACAGATGATAGTTGTAAGCATAACAGTAACAGGGGAAAATTAAACTAGCTATGTATACACGCCTTTTAAAAATGGTTTGGAGAGGACAAGTGAAGGAGATAGGAGCCCCACTAGAAGGCTACTGTAATGTTTCTGATGATGATATAGTGCGTAGTGTGTTGTGCTGTTAACCAAAGTCCATCTCCAGCTGTTTGAAATCACCAGCTGCGCCTCTGGAATGGTTTCCTCTTGTTATGATTTACAGTCTCTGTAATCTGATGATGGGTCACTATAAATTGGAATCAACATGGTGGCAATCAATTTAGTTTGAGTTCTGAGATAGAGGTGGCAGGAATGAAGGTGAGGTACCAACAGTACTCAAGGTATATTTAAGTAAAATAATCTCCAGGATTTACTAAGGGCTTTTCAGAGCCCTTATTTCTAAAGTGGATGGCCCTATGCTTCCTAGTCTGTCTTAGTCTGGAAAACACTGAAACTTGTCCATCATGGGGGAATCTGCAGGAATTTGAGAACCTGAAGGTATAGTATCCAGCATCACAGTCACACAATTACCTGAGAATAAGAAACTAATAGAAAATGGTGATAAAGATGGCTGGTTTTGAAAGTTTAGGAAAAGCATATCCCATATTTTTTTTATGCACTGACTAATCAGGATTCAACTAAAAATATTTTTTCAAGATGGCTTACTAATTTAACTACCTCAAGCATATTTTAACGTATCTATAGATTATTAGACAAGGACATCATGTTTGGAAAGGTCAGTGAATGAGTGAAAGACCCTAAACCAGACTGAGTGACACAGTGAGTGCTGCAATGGACTTGAGTATGTCAGAAATGATGTGGATGGCACAGGATAGGACAGGTTCAGATCTGTCATTCATAGGGTTGATATCAACCATATGGCTCATACTTGACAGCACCAAACAATAAGATAGACTATTATATAAAATTTGCTTTTTGTGGGAAACCATAATGTAAATTTAGAATGCTTACATATTTTTTCAGAATTCTTCACCTTTTCAGGTACAGAGATGGAAATTAAGTTAGGTTGCATTTATAGTTTGCTTATCTCTGCAATTTTCCAAGCTCTGCAATATTTTAATAAGTAAAACAAAATGCCCTTTCCTTCAGCAAATCAAACTGTGATACTCTCTGACTTTATGAAATATTATTTAGATGTTTTCAACTTTGTATTTTGGAAAAGTAAATGCCACATTTTTTTCCTACACTCTTTTTTTAAACACAGAAACACAATTATGTCATTTTTTTCTCTTATTCTGTTTGTTTATTTCAGATGTCTAGCCTTCTTGATAGAGTTTGATGGTAGTTAATGTATTAAAAAGGGGCTGGTGGTGTAGTACCAAAATAATCAGGCTTCTTAAATGTGAGGATTATTTTACCTCAAACAATTTTATATGGTTAGTCATAGAGAGCTAAATAATATTCAAAATAATTTCCGTAATCACTCAACAAATGTTATTTGGACTGACAAACACAAATTGAAGCTTTACGTGCGATAGTTATAACACATATTTAAAGCACATAAACAAAGTTTTTAAATATATTCTTATGTAGATTCTTAGAAAGTCAAGTGTTCCTATGGCAGAATGATGCCAAAGTATGAAATTATTTGTGGTTGGCTAACGTTGGCTAATGTTGTTGAATGGTTGGCAAAAACCATTTCTATGCTTCTCAATCCCATCAGTTCGAAAAATATTAAAAGGATCTTTTAAAAATAATTTATTATGATGGAATTTTTTTAACATATAAAAAATGCTAAGCTTCTAGATTTCAACATTTTTGGATGTAAAATGACAATTTCAAGTCTTCCCACAGTTTGTGTTGAAATATCTTGTTTTCTAGACCGTTGGCATGCCCTTAAAGATTAGGCAAAATGAAACCAAGCTTTACACTTAGAAACTCTGATGTTCTCACTTGGTACCTCTAGCAGCCATTTAGTATTCCTAAATTTCTAAGAAATTTCTTCAAAGGTAGACATGAGAGAACTTTGTCAGGGGAAAGGAAGAGAGTGTTCTTTTCAAATAAAGAAAAGACCTGCTTATTTTCTTTACATAGACTTTAATACAGTATAGAATTACTTATATTTATGATGTATTACCTTTATAGACATAAAATTAATTATGTAGCATATTGGTGTATTTGAATTCTTTTAAACATTAACATTTATTTACAGAGTCATTTGAACAGAATGCTCATGCAAAAGCCATTTGGAATATTTTTTATGTCCATTAAAAATAATAAATCTATGACAAGTTACTTTTTTAGATAAAATATATAAGTTATAGATAAGTTTTCAAGTTATAGGTAAGTTTATCAACAAATCTAATATCTACTCACTCTTGATATATTTATGCTTATAGCTTTCCTCAATTAGCAAAATGTTTCCTCTTACTTTGACATAGCAAAGTCTGTAAAACTATGGCATTTTAAGACATCAACAATTTTTACTTACCTTTCCACAAAAATTCCAGCTTGAACAGCATGCACAATGCTCCGAAATTTTGGTTTTTCCTCAGGTTTCCTTTCTTTCATCCCCATTTTCCGTGTAAACGTTGAAGCCAACCAGTCCCGGACCTCCAATGGAACTGAATCAGACTCAATGTCAGAGAGCTCATCATCAGTATCCAGCAGCCTTCTAAAAAATCAATAGAAAACACTTTAAAAAATATGTTGAAGATCTGTTAATAACAGTACAGAATGATGGGACGCGCACAGAGAAAATTATTCATTCTAGGAACTGTTTGAGAAAAAATGTTAATGGCTTGAAAATTCTTAATTTCTTAAATCATTTTGTGAACACAAAACATAATACAATTGAAAATTTAAAATGTCCCTAGAATAAAAGTACCATGATACCAATCAGGTGATATTGAATTAACAGTTAATAATATTAATATTACTATTGAATATATTTGTTGTTGCTGTTACATGGTTGGACTCCTACTAATGACAAGCTATGGCAAAAAAAACGGCTCCAGGAATAGATGGTATGCCAATTAACATATTTCAGTTAACAGATGCTGCCCTGGACATGCTCACCAAGTTGTGCCAAGAAATCTGGAGAATGACCACTTGGCCAACTGACTGGAAGAGATCGATATTTGTTCCTATCCCAAAGAAAGGTGACCCAACAGA